CTATCATTATATCTATCTATCTATCTATCTATCTATCTATCTATCTATCTATCTATCTATCTATCTATCTATCTATCTCAGTGTTTTTCAACCACTGTGCCGTGGCACACTAGTGTGCCGTGACATAGTGTAAGGTGTGCCGTGGGAAAAACACCTTATATATAGTCAATATAGGCACAGAGTTAAATTTTTTTAACATTTTCTAATGGTGGTGTGCCTCGTGATTTTTTTCATGAAAAAAGTGTGCCTTTGCGCAAAAAAGGTTGAAAAACACTGCTGTAGACAATACCGGTAGCCCTTAGCTATCATATTTGGCTCTGAAATCTTGGTTGTCGAGCAGAGGGGTCATTAAGTAAAATCCCAATGTGACCCCTTCACTCAACAACTGTAATCCCAGCACTCTGAGTTGTTGTTAAGCAAGTGTTTCAAGGGTTCAAGGAGGCTCTGGTAGGTTTGCCACAGGCCACACATGAGGTAGGATAGTGGCTCAAAGGTGCAGTTGCCCCACCCTGGCTCTACATGTATTTATTTAATGTACAGCATAAAGCACATGGAAAACAGATCCTGGTCCTCCTGGCTTGGGCCTAAAATAAAGGCCAAAGCAATTTTGGCCAGCTGCCACTTCCCTAGGCATCAGCTCTAGAGCCACCACTGAGAAAAGCCACTTAATTATCTACACCTATTTTCCTCTGATCTAGGTTCCCTGCATAGTGGTACATGACTGTAGACATGGCCCTAAAATAAATAACTGGCTCTGTGGCAGCTTTGGTAAAGAAGATCTAGTGTGACCAAGAACTGTTTTGGATAGGCCCTTTCAACAAGAGTAGAAAAGTACCTGAAAGTCAGTGGTACCAAGCATGGATTACCTGTAAAGAAGACGACCTTAAGGAACATATGCAAGGATGTTGCCAAGGCAACAAGGAAAAGAATAAAACATTGTCTGAGTTCAAAACACTGGAAGCAGATCAAATAAGCACTTCCGTAATTAACTAAAGAGGAAGAAGAACACAAAATTTGGTGATTCTCTTGTTTGTGGACCTGATATTTTTGACCTGATCTACTCAGTACATCCTAATCTTCATGCACTTGTGTTCCACTGGCATGGAGGAGAAAGTGATATTGTGCCCCATTTAACAATCTCCCATGCTTTTCCAATCTGATCTAAATAATGGTGGAGGGCTGCAGGGGTGGGGGGAAGGCATCTGTATTTATTGGTATGCTGCCTCCATTCTTCAACGGGAAGCCTCCACAATTCTTTTATTGAACAGAAGAAATAAGTATAGATCATTTTTTTAAACAGTATCTTGGACTGGGAACACACCCAACTCATGGTTGTAAATATAAATTATTCTTCTGTTTCTTAGGTTATATAAATGAAAGTGGGCACCTCAACTTGCCCCGCTTTGAAAAATACCTTATAAAATTGTCAGATGTAAGTATGTATTCTTTGTACTGCATAAAATTAAAGAAATAGCATTAGAATTCATGAAGAAAGGAACTTCTCAAGGCTAGCTCTTGAAAAGGTTTTTGTTCAGTAGTTTTGTAAATATCTGCCTAATTGCTATCTATGATGCTTTATAAATTTCCAATGTATGCTAGAATCTGGCTGAACTTTCATGTCTAGAATCCTCTCTTTTTTAGTTTGAGGGTAATCCAGAACAAATATCTCTGCGTGCCACCTGTGGCACACGTGCCATAGGTTCGCCATCATGGCCATAGAGTATTTAAACCATGGCAACACAGTTTCAGAGCTCCTGGGATGCAATCTCTATCTTTTTTGAAAGTGAATTTCATAATGGCTATTGTGCTTCTGAAGTGACGTAATCAATATAGGCCTTCCAGCATAGTCTGGAACATTAACCCCAAATATATAAAATCCTTTTTTTGTATGAGCTGTTAACATTTTTTAGGTTTTCTAGCACAACCCACTACTTTTTTTTTTTAATTTGATAAGCAAAGATTATGGTACTAATTATTTTATTATCTGTACACCACCTAAAACCCATAAAGATTACGGTGATAGATAAATTTCACAATAAATAAATAACATTTGATCACAGTTGCCCTTATAGAAACTAGAGTGAACTGAAATGTTAGCTTCTTGATAACAGTATCTAGGAAGTTTGAAGTATCATCCTCACCATGTATGAGACAGACCTATTTGCAAGATTTTTCTCCTATGTAAATTACTTACCCAATAAACTATGTTCTGCTCAAAGGACAACCCTTATATTTGTATGATTTAATATTTCTCATCCACATTGCTGGAAAGAAAATTCCATAATTCCCCAGTGAAACAGCAACTGATCATCTGGATAAACAGAATATGCCTGCATTTTTTTTTTAAGAATTGGTGTGCTAATAATGCTTCTTTTAAGATATAACCTTGTTAGCTTAGAACAGGGGTTCCCAACTGGGGGTGCAAGACACTATTCCAGGGGGTGAAAAAACTGGGTTTAGAAGTTTCAAAATTATAGTGTATATGCATAATTATATGCATATAATTATTTACTTTTGCAGGGGGTGCAAGAATATATCAGAAGCGTTCTAGGGGTGCGGGGTATTAGAAAAGATTGGGAGCACTGACTTAAAAGAAAATACTCTTTTGAACTGACAGTTAATTTGAAATTTCCATAAAGGTTACCATAATTATTTTGATTACCTTTCAATACTTATTAGTATAACTACCTTGTTTGCTTCACCTATTGCCTTATGAATTTTTTACTATACTATTTTTGCATATAGTATTTGGTTAACTGTATGTGGTCCTTTTTGTTTTTAAACTTTGTCTGTAAAACAGGTTATGGAATGCCTGATGCCTTGTTTTTCCTTTCCTTTATGTTAATAGTTTGATCGTGAACACTTCAGTGAAATCTTTGTAGATCTAAAATGGTTTGAAAGCAAAGTTGGTAATAAATATTTAAATGAAGCAGCTGGTATTGCAGCCGAAGAGTCAAAAAAACAAAAAAATCTCAAGGTTGGTATATTGAGATAATCTAGAGAACTTGTGTTTTTTTTAATGAGAAATTAATGTTTAATACTTACTACATGTAAAGATGTTTACTGTATTTATTCCTAAATATATATCTGGCTCTTACGACAGCAATGCCTTGAGCAAATTTGCTTGAAATACATTCTTAGGGATTAAGGAAGAGATTATGCATCATGACCAAAGGATTGAATTAACCAATTAAGCAAATTTCCATTCAATGTTAAATAGTTCTCTGTGATGAGAAATGTGAGATTCTGAATTTAGGAAAAAAACAGATGTACATATTAAAAACAAGTATCTGGCATAGTAGAAGTGTGAGCAGCATCTGGGAATCTTGGTAGACCATAGATTAAACATGAGCCAGTAATGTGCTGCTGCTGCCAAAAGAGCCAATGCAGTTTTGGACTGTATCGGCAGATACAGTGTTAAGTTCCCAGGAAGTACTACCACTCCTAATTAGATCATCATTAGAATACTGTTCCCAGTTCTGGTCTCAACCATGTGAAAGGATGCTGTGATACTGGAATAGGTGCAAAGAAGAGTGACTTGGATGGTAAAGAGCTTGGAGATTCAATCCTATGCTTAAAGGAACTTGTTATGTTTGGCCTAAAGAAGAGAAGACTGAGGAAATATGATAGCAGCTTTAATACAAGAAAGATGTTGCACATATGAATTTATTCTCCATAGCATCCATGGGTAAGACTAAAAGAGTGCCTGAAAGCTTAGCAGGGAAAGATTGAAATAAGAATTAATTTACTAATTGCAAGATCTATTGTGCAGTGAAACAGCCTGCCTTCTGAATTTGTGAATACTCCACCACTAAAGGTTTTCAACAAAAGACATGGGGAACTATTTGTTCAGGATGGTATGAGTATTCCTGCACTGGGCAAGGGGTTGGATTAAATGACTTCTGAGATCACTTCCAACTCTTTGGTTCTATAATTTATTTTCATTAAATAGAAAGTGGTATTTACTAAACTCTTTAAAGGTTATGTATCAGGCTTGTCAAATTGTTTTCTGATGGACTGTGCATTTAGATAACAATTTTGGCAAGATGACAGTGGTTTCTATCAATAGAGCAAGCTGTTTTCATTCTCACTTATTCTTTAGCATTTGCTCCTGAGAAAGACACTTAAGTATATTTTTAGGGGACCTAGTAACTACAAGGAGAAAATTAAAAGCTGAAGTTTACACATGTGATAGTGGATTTTGCTTCCCCCTCCCCTTAAATGCAATTAGAGAAGTCTTGGATTTCATTGGTACATATTAGTGGGGTCTTTTAATTCTATATTGTTTATTTTAGTTTTCGCTCCTGTTTATGTGAGTTTAAACTATTTTAATAATTTTTATAGAATTTTTGAAGGAGTTTTTAATAAATTGCTCAGAAATTTATAAACTAATAAATTTAATTAATTAAGTTATTCATTTCTGAGATTTCTGAGTGTTTGTTCCAATAATACTATAAATGAACAGATTTGGAGCATTGATTTGTTTTTGTTCATTATTAAAGTGTCATTCTTAATTTTTGGCTAAATCCAATATTATAGGAAGAGATAATTTTTTCTTCTATTTTTCTTCAAAAACTCCAAATTGGCTCTGGGGGTAACCCAGAAGCAGTTTGTGAGCTGTCCAAAGATGTAATGAAAGTGCCGTATTTAGACTTTTCCTTTCTATAGTATTGTGGTATTAATACTACTTTGTTAATTCAAAAGTATGAATTATGTCAACAGGCTCAGGAAAATGTTATATGCTTGGATGCTTTAGAGAAAACTGACAATGGAAGTGTAGAAGCTTCAAAAAGTAAGTTCAGAAAATACTGTTCAGTTCTGTTCATATTTTGACCTATATGCTGCCCACGACATGGTACAATTATTTTGAATGTATTGCATAATACGAGCTTTTATACTTTTGTTTCTTGTGTTTCTGCAAAACTTAATATAAAAGATTATTCTCACATGGCAAACAGAGCTACATAGTTTATGTTAACTTCCAATATATAAATTAAATAAAACCCCTATATTTGTCTGTTTTGCTGCCAGTTAGATACCATATTTTTCGCACTTTAAGGTGTACCTCCCCCCCAAAGTGGGTGAAAATGTCTGTGTGTCTTATATAGCGAATATTGTGACAGAGGGAGGGTGATTGGTGCGGTGGCCTGTTACCACTGCTAACGTTTGCTGCCACTGGGGAATGCTGAAGCCTTTGCTGCCGAGCAGCTGATCGTTGGGTGGATTGGCCTCCCGAAATACCGGCGATCAGCTGCCATTTGCCACTATCATTGCCGAGCATTGAGTGCTAGCAGCAGCGAACGGTGGCGATCAGCGCCGGCAATTCCTGCTACCTAGAACAGTTGAGCAGTGGTATTCCAGGAGGCCGATCCAACCACTGATCAGCTGCTTGGCAGTGAAGGCTCCAGTGTTCCCCAATGACGGTAGCAACTCAGCTCAGTTGACTGGTGGTGGGCACAACGGAGTGGAGCTCTGATAAGCCATGTGCTGGGGCTGTGATAATGTGCTGAAGCTGAGCAGTCTATTTGCTGTTTATTGCAAGGATGTTAGCCAAATGAATACCAGATGGATGCTGGGAGGCAGAGGCATTTTTTTTCTTGTTTTCTTCCTCTAAGGCTAATGTGCATCTTATGGTCTGGTGTGAAAAATGCGGTGTTTTATATGTGGATATAAATATAAATATAGTTTATATTAACAAGCTGCTATCAGTGAAAAAAAGTGTCTTTATATTAGGTGTCTTGCAGTCATCTCACACAACATTAGGATTTAGTACACAGCAAGAACACTAAAATTACATAAACTATAATATAATATTAGACATTTTACTTTATTGACATCAAATCCCAATCAAATACTTTAGCTATTGGAAGACTTTTCAGATACTTTGCATAGTGAATGTGTCATACTCTTCTCAATTAAATGGAAGTGAGATTTGCAGCTCAGTTGATTGAAGAAAAATATTTTCCTATTCAGAATTAGAAACTTTGCATTTGGTACAACAGCAGTACTGCATTATGCATTGTTTATGTGTTTTTCTGAGATAGCTAATTAATCACTGTGGTAAATGTGATACTGCTGAAGATGGATTTTATATAGCCTGAATTAACAGTTGTTTATGTTGTTGATTTGAGCTCCGAGCTTCCCAATTTGGTTGCAAACATTTCATCCCCAATGTGCTCCCCCAGACAAGCACAATCCAAAGCGCACTGAAGATGTCTCCTCAAATAGGGATGAAACGTTTGCGACCAAATCACCAAGCTCGGAGCTCAAACCAACAACATAACTACCAACCTGAGCTACTAATATTCAAAGAGCTTTCAGAGAGCTGTTTATATCTTAACACATTTAATGTATACCATGTCAATTTTAAAAACCAGTATTTTCTGCACATTTTTTTGACATATAAGTTTCAATGTCTAACAGTATGGATAGTGTTAATAATAGTTAAATAACATATTGTTCAATTTTGTGTGTCTTTTAGCAGCAGTAGAAGATGAACTGGAAGATGAGGATTTGTTTGAAGCAGAATTTAGACAATACAAACGAACATATTATATGACAAAGATGGGTGTAGAAGTTGTTTCAGAGTAAGTGTTAGAACTAAAGTATTGTAAACTTTTGCTATGAATAATTTGTCAAAATATTCCAGCCGCTTGATGGACACAGTTGCTTAGTTATTTTAAAATGCATAACTTATTTCTGTCCATCATGTATGTGTTTGTGGCTTTTTTTTAGTGACTTTCTGGCTGACCAGGCAAAATGTTACGTCCAGGCAATACAGTGGATATTGCATTATTACTATCATGGGGTTCAATCATGGAGCTGGTAAGCTAATTATTACAAAATAAATTATATATCAAATAATTTTAGGTTAATTTTTTACACTAAAAGACCTTAGAAAGCCAACTCCTTCTAATTCTTTCTCAACCTGTATCTTACTCTCAGAATTATGTTACTTGAATTGTCACTCGAATTACATGTTATTTCAGATGTCTTTTTCCTACCTTCAGCTCTTTAATTGACTAAGCTCAAGATACTAATTTTTATATATCTATGCACTTTAAAGAACTGAAATAACACATTACTTCCTTCTAGGTACTACCCTTTCCATTATGCACCTTATCTCTCAGATATTTGCAATATCAGTGAACTGAAGATTCATTTAGATTTAGGAAAACCATTTATGCCATTTGAACAACTTCTTGCAGTACTTCCTGCAGCTAGCAAGGATTTATTACCAAAATGTTACCAGGTAGGTTGCAATATTTTGATAAAGCATGCATTTGTATTGGTATGTATAAGGAGAATTTTAATTCATTCACATTACACTCGTATGAAAAGTAAATACCCTTTTGAATTGTTTGACTTTTTTTGGAATATGTCAACATGTAGTTATTTGATCTTTATTTTAACAATATTGATAGATAAAAGTTGTATAACAAATACCACGTAGCTTATCTATTTTTTATTTCATTGTATAATTTGAATAAGCATAAATGCAAATTTTGCATCCGGAATAAGCAAGTAGATCCTTGGCTTATTTTGCCTTTGGGTAGAAACAACCTTAAGTAGGTATTTATTATAGAAGTCTACCAATCTCAAACATTGACGGGGAGGAATTTCCCCCCACTCTTCCCTGAAGTATGTATTATGTTAGAAGGGTTTCTTGCAGCCCATTTCAAATCATATCACAGCATCTTGATGGAATTTACATCCAAGCATTGACTTGGCGCTATCAATCCCCCCCTCCAACCCATTTCTCTTTGTTTTCCAAACTTCCTTTTGGTGGATTTATTGGAATGTTTAAGATCAGTGTGATTTTGCAAGGTTCCTTTTGAGCCCTAGTCTTCTGACAGATGATTTCACGTTCTCCTTAAGCATGCTCCATTTCAGTGAAGAATTCATAGTGGATTTTATGATGGTAAACTCATCTGATGCAACAGAAAGGCCCCAAACTATAACATTTCCACCTCAATTGTTAGTACATTCTTCTGGTGAAATACTGTATTTCAGGGGTGTTAAATTCGATTTCATTGAGGGCTGCATCAGGGTTGTGTTTGACCTTGGAGAAGGGGGTGGGGGCAGCTCAACGTCACTTGTGTGATCGAATGCCACTTTTGCTAGTAGTTTGTTTTGCTGGCACAACGGCCTCCTGCAGCACTCTGCCAGCAAAAACGGAGCTCACGAGGGAGCTAGGGGTTGTCACAACCAAAAAGAGAACCCAGGAGGGGCTGCGCATGGCCCTCCCAAGCTCTGTTTTCACTGGCAGAGGCACGCAGGCCGGACCTTCATTGTTTCCAGGGCAGGCCCATGGGCCAGATCTAAGCATCCTTAGGGCCGCATCCAGCTGCGGGCTTGAGTTTGACACACCTGTTGTATTTGATGGGTACTATGGCCAAATAACTCTATTTCGGCTTTGTTTGTCCAGAGCACATTATTACAGAAATCCCAATTGTTGCCTAAATTTTCATGAGCAGATTTTAGTCTTGCCCTGATTTTCTTTCAGGTCAGCAAAAGTTTCCTACTGGTACACCTCCCATGCAGATCTAATTTATTTAGCTTCTTTCTAGTGGTAGACTCATACCGTTTGACATCAGTGGTGATGAGAGCTACCTCTAGGTCATGAATCAATTTCTGGAGTTCTTAGCATCTTGTTTCAGCATCTTGCATTATATTTTTTTATCTGAACTTTCTGGGACAGTCTAGTCTGGACACGTTGGCATTTGTTTGAAATCTTTTCACTTGTAGATGAAACAAATGGAATCATTCTAGACAGTGGAATGGTTAATGTTCACTTGTTTGGCAATCTTTTAAAATGCTCTTCCAGATTCATAGGTATCTGTAACCTTTTTAAAGATCTCAGAGAGTTCTTTCGATATAAGCATGGCGATACTGCATACTTTGAAAAAGAGCAAATCAAACTAAATGTCTGGTGCTTAAATAAGACATTTTCTTCCCAGATCCCCTTTAATGAGATTCTATTCATTTGCACCTGATCTAATTAATTTACATTACTTTTGACATTGTGATAAATGTAGAAGTATTCTTGCTTTGCCCACATGCAAAATTTGCATTTAAGTTTATTTAAATTAAACTAAATCAGCTAGCGGTACCTGAACACAGTTATAAGTGGATCACAAGCTTCCTAAAAACAGACAGCAGCATGTGAAGCTAGGCAAAATCACATCAGACACCTGTACAATTAGGACAGGAGCCCCCCAGGGCTGTGTGCTCTCTCCAGTTTCTTCTCTCTATATACCAATGACTGCATCTCAAACGATACATCTGTTAAAATACTGAAGTTTGCAGATGACACAAGAGTGATTGGTCTCATTCAAGACAACAATGAATCCGCATACAGACGGGAGGTTGAACAACTAACAATTTGGAACTGAACACACTCAAAACCGTAGAAATGGTGATAGACTTTAGGAGAAACCCTCCCATATAACCACCTCTTACAATACTAAACAACACAGTATCAACAGTTAAATACCTTCGGATTTCTAGATTCTATCATATCTCAAGACCTAAAATGGACACCTAACATCAAAAACGTCATCAAAAAAGCACAACAAAGAATGTTCTTTCTGCACCAACTCAGGAAGCTCAAACTGCCCAAGGAGCTGCTGATACAGTTCTACAGAGAAATAATTGAGTCTGTCATCTGCACCTCTATAACTGTTTGGTTTGTGTTGTGGTCCGCCGGTGGCCTGCAGACCTGGCGGCAGAGTCGGACAGTGAGGAGGTTGGGGAGAAATGTGGGCTTTTTACTGTCTCAAGAAGCCTAGGTCAGAACAGTTTGGTTCTGCAACCCAACAAGACAGACAGAGACTTCAGTGGATAATTAGAACTGCAGAAAAAACAATTGCTACAAATCTGCCTTCCATTGAGGACCTGTATATTGCACAAGTCAAAAAGAGGGCCATGAAAATATTTACATTCCCTTCACATCTTGGAAATAAATTGTTTAAACTTCTACCCTCAAAATGACTGTAGAGCACTGCACACCAAGACAATTAGACACAAGAACAGTTTTTTCCCCAGATGCCATAACTCTGCTGAGTGGATAGTTCCCTCAACACTGTCAAACTGTTCACTAAGACTGCATTGCTGTTGCTGTTGGTCTTCTCATCGTTCCTATCACCCATCTCCTCCCACTTATGATTGCATAACTGTGGCTTGTTGCTTGTATCCTTAAGATTTATATTGATATTGATTGTTTCCTGATTACTTATTTGTACCCTATGGCTATCATTAAGTGTTGTACCTTATGATTCTTGGTGAATGTATCTTGTCTTTTTATGTACATTTAGAGCATATGCACCAAAGACAAATTCCTTGTGTGTCCAATCACAATTGGCCAATAAAGAATTCTATTCTGTTCTATTCTATTACCCAATGCAGTAGAAAATATAAATGATGTTTATTATATTATATTCCCTTTATTAATATTGATGAAATGAAGATCTACCATGTTTCCCCGAAAATAAGACAGGGTCTTATTTTCTTTTGACCCCCGAAATAAGCACTTGGCCTTATTTTCAGGGAGGTATTATTATTTTTGAGGTGTAGGGGGCGTCAAGCATGGTCACCTCATGGCTGCTGCTGTGTTGTAATATTATTATTTTAGTGCATGCGCTCAAAAGGCCGATTGGGCTTATTATCTGCGGAGGTCTTATTTTTGGGGAAACAAGCTAATATCTATATATTGAAACATGTTGAAAAAGTTAAAAAAAAATCAATGAGAGATACTTACCTTTTCATATTATTGTATATAGATATATTAGTTTAGTACTATTATTACATAATTGATCCATACTTTGATTTGTTTTGCATTTCTGCCATGTACATTTCATTTTTATATTAGTCATCCTGTTTATATAAAGTTTAAATAATACGAATTTTCCTTTCCTATCTCAGCATTTAATGACTGGTGAAGAGTCTCCCATTATTGAATATTATCCAACAGAATTTAAAACTGATTTAAACGGAAAGCAACAAGAGTGGGAAGCTGTAGTTTTAATCCCATTTATTGATGAGGTGAGACCTTTATTATTTTTATTTTATTATTACAGTATTTATCACATGTGTCCTCTTGTTCCTATATCTCTCCTAAGTATGATTCTTATTTGGTATTTTCCTGTTCAATACCAATTTAACTTAACAGATCTTAAAATTGAATAAGTTATTTCATACAGAAATAGGCAATCTGTATCATAATGACTGTCATTAATATTACAAGGGACAATGATTTTAATTTAATAGTCATACATTTCAGCAGGACAAATTAGCATAAATTTAAATTAGCATATTTAGTAGATATCTGGCATGTGACCTTGTAGTAATTTGTTCCATTGATATAAATCAAATCTGACTCTGATTCAATCCAGTATTTTAAGATTCTAAAAGTATATGATTTCTAAATAACTACAAAATTATGTCTTTAATTTAGAAACTATTATTAGAAGCCATGGCACCGTGCAACAAGTTATTGAAAGCAGAAGAAAAGCAAAGAAATAGGCACAGTGAATGCCTAATGTGCTTCTATGATAGAGATAAAGAATTCCGGTATTTATCACCATGGCCAGAAAAGTTCCTTTCCATAGAAAAGTGTCATACGAGGTAAGTCTATAAAATTTTGTTATAAGGATAAATTAAAAATGGAAGGATAAATGCACCACCTTGAACTTCTGAAGGAATCACAAAATATTAATTCAAGAAATTATATAAATGAATTATTGCTTTTTTTTTTTACATTGCTACCTTTTCTTAGCAACTGAAATTTTGGGCTCAATCATGGTTATAAGTTGAGAACTACCCATAGCTGTATAGGAAAGCTCTTGGCTTCAGCATTATTATTTTGCATACTTGTGTTCAAAGTTGTTATCCCACCTCCGCCCCCAAAACATCAATATCTTCAAGGTCTGCCTTTAATGCTGATTACTGGTTTATCTGCAGTTTAATTTATTTTCTTTCTTTATGTAGGTGTGAACCTGTGTCTATGGATGCTTGGCATGTGGATATAGCTGATAATAAAATAACTCAATTAGATACTGAAAAGTTATATTTTTGTGGCTTTCCTACTCTAAAACATATTAAACACAAGGTAAAATGCAAGTTTTCATTCAGTAGTTTGTTTTTTAATTAGGAAACCTAATGGCTGATATTAATTGTATATGCAAGAATATTATTATTTTTTGAGTATATTTGTGAATGGGAGAGAGGGTTATGAATAGAAGAAGCTCTTTGTAATCAATTATTACGAAGGACTAATAGTGCTGTTGCAAAAAAGATATGCTTCTGAAGCTTAGTTTTACTTTGCAAAGCTACTTGTTTGGTGATATAGTATGTATCCTTTTTCTAATGTCAAACAAAGCAGTTCTCTTTTCTCTCCAGCCCTGCCCATTTCTATAACATCTCACTTCCTCTCCAAACAAATTCATTTTTTCTTTTCTCTCCAGCATAGCTATCTTTTCTCACAAGCCCATCTTCATTCTTCTTTTTTTGCTATTTCTGCTAAAAAAACAAGAGTGTACGTAGGTGTACTTCTATGTTTCTGAGTGTGAGGTTAGTTTGAATGGATTTGAAACAGATGTATATATGGGGTTTAGTTGGCTTGTTTACATACTCAAAGCTTGGACTAGATATAACTTCATTTTAATTATTTTAGTCATGGCCCTTACTATTAGTGACAGATTGACTGAAGTGTAGTTTTGGTACATATGAATATATACATCAAAACTATATATGCTTTGGGTTTATGAGTATAACCTATATTTTGTGTGTTTGTGTAATATGCACATATATTCATATGTGAATATATGAGTGTGTCACATATAGCAGAGGAATTTTCAGGAGTTGGGATCCCTAGCATTATTATATTTCCCAGGATTTTGTTCTTATCCCTATTATCTTCTTTTGGGGTATATATTATCTTTCTTCCCTTGTCTTAGTTTGGTCTGAAAAAAAGTGGAGTGCAAGTATTTCAGCAAAGCAGTCATGGAGAAAATATGTTGCTGGAAATTATAGCTGCAGAAGACTCAGAGGAGTTGGTAAGTATTTAGCTTTCTCAAATTTGTTTTGTAGAAATAATACTCTTTGTAGCTTGGATTTCAGTGTTCAGCCTCAGAGTTTTATGTTACCTGTATTACACCACATTAATAATAAATTAATTTAATTTAATAAACATTATTAATGCATCACTTAGACAACTGGTTTGAAAACATTAATTAAAACCTGTCTGAGAGTCTGATATGATAATCCAAATTGTCTGAGAGTTTATTGAGATTACTCACTGATGGAGATGTACTTCAATTAAGTAACACAAATCATCCTTACATGATTTAGCCACAGTTCTACCATATGTAAAGTAAGTTCTGAGGTTAATTGACATATTATTGAATTTAAGTCAATAGTATATGCCATTTGGGATTGATAACTTCATTTTGAAAATAGTATGGTGATAATATTGTGAGCAAAATTTGGGAAGAAGTTTGAGACTAAAAGAATCTGGCTAGAAGTTATATGGGAAAAAAGAATGCAAATAATGAGTGATATTTATTTGAACATTGATTTCCTTGACTGTTGATTTATTTATAATTGAGTTGATCTTAGGAACTAGTCAACTTAGTTTGTTCTTTTTGGAAAAGACAGTACAGGTCTTGTATTTCCACCACATGTACTGGTGATAATTTGAAAGGGTATAGTAATATGCTATTTTAATGCTTGCTCTGAATGTTAAACAATGATTCCATTGTGTAGGAAATGCTAAGTTTTGGATATCATTTTGTCCCCAAAAGAAAATCCACATTTTTACTTGCAGCACTAGTTTGCTGACTTAAATCTATATTTGATGTGAAAAGAAGGCAGAAGTTATGTTCATCTTGGCAGATCTGGGAATAAGCTTTACAAAAGAAAGTGGTCATAAAGTTAGCAAACACATCTGTAGATCTGAGGTTGTTAGTACTATCATTTCTTCATCTAAAATCTGATGTATTTGCCTGTTGATTGCATAATAGTTTCAAGAGTGCCTAATGTTGTGACAGTCTTGCTAGGAATGTTTAAAATAGGCATATTTTAGATTTTTTTCACTGACAAATCTAAATCATATAAAAATAGAATATGAATCAAGTGTGTTTTTAAAGTAGTACATGCATTTATGAAATTATTCATAAATACTGGTAATTATAAACATAAACTAAGTAGAACAAAAGGTAGTTTTAATTATTAAATTTAATTATAGGTAGTCCTTACTTAACAACCACAACTGTGACTGGAAACTCCATTGTTAAGCAACATGGTCATTAAGTGAGACATCATATGACTGAACTGGACTTATGACATCATTTGTTAAGTTGTTAAGTTATAATATAACCACAACTTGCAACTTTATTGCTGGCTTCTCCTCCTGCTTGTGGAAAGCCAGCTGTGAAGCATGTAAATGGCAATCATAAGACTATGGGCTGCTGCCATGGTCATAAATTCCTACCAGTTGAAAAACACATGAATTGTGATCATATGACACTGATGTTCATAAGAGTGAGGACTGATTGCAATATCATCATAACTTCAAACGATCTAAAAAGGAAGTTGTTACATGAAGACTGCTTGTAGCCATTTTATTTATTTTTTTAAAAAAGGTTTATGTAACCTGATATACAAATGTAGGGATGGAATTTTTTTTGCTGCACTAAACAATTATTTTTCTCCTGTAGGATATAGAAAAAGTAGCCAGTTTGATACTTGGGAATTCAATCTTTGTTAACTGGCCACATCTTGAGGAAGCAAGAGCTGTTGCTGTATCTGATGGTGACACTAAGTAAGAGACTAATTTGGAAGAGTTATTATTTACTTCTATATATGTATCTTTTAAGGCTAAATGTCAAAAGATAGTTGAAACAAGATTCTATAAGAATTTTTTTTTAAAAACCATGTTAAAACAAAATAGTAAGATAAGAAGCTCCAAAAATGTGTTTTTTACTTTCAACTTTTGTTACTAGCAAATTAATTTCAGTTTCACTTAGTATCAAACTCATGGTCCGCGGGCCAGATGCGTCACGTGCTGGCTCCAGCCCTGCCCAGTTTAGCAAAAGGGAAAAAAGTCCCAATACATCAGGTGATGCCCCCGTGACAATGTGAGTTTGACACCCCTGACCTAGAACCTTAATGACATTGACAAATAATATATTTGTTAAGATACTTGCCTAGAAACCAGGAGACTGAGTTCTAATCCCACTTTACGCATGAAGGCCAGCTGAATTACTCCCTCTCAGCCTGTTCTGACTAGGCTTCCTGATACAGTAAAAAGCACACGCTTAGTCCCAAAAACCCTCTTTTTATTTCAAAGACCCTGAATTATGTTGTAAATAGTTATAAAGAGTCCTACAATAGGCTGCCAAAGTCCTTCTGGATAAGGCTGATAAGCACCCACCTTTATCTTCCTTGACACACTGCCAAAGACTTAATTGGCAATTAGCATGGCAAGGCGACACGGAGCAAAGAGTCAAAACGGAGCTTCAGAAGATGAACTGACCAGCATGAACCAAGTTGCTTCCTGCAAAAGCTCATGTGCCTTTGCTTCTCCTTTTGGTCCTATGGGAGGGGCGAATCACTGCCAAGTCTTACTCCTGAGTTGTTCCTTCTGTCTTAACTGATTTTGCCTTCTGGCAGCTCTGTGCATGCTCACTGGGAACAGGGAGCCTGTTCCTCTGCCTCACTGCTATCTGACTCTGGAGGCTCCGGAGGCAGCACATACTGTATTTTTCGGAGTATAAGACGCACAAAGGTTTTGAAGAGGCAAATTTTTAAAAAAAAGTTTTTGCACTCTGCAAATCTCCCAAAAACGGCCCATTTTTCACGAAAACAGGCCCATTTTGTTTTCAAAAAAAGGGTATGAATAGCCCTTAGGAGGCTTGTAGAGTGTTCCCGCAAGGGTAGGGGGGGCAAAAGTGAGCAAAAAAGGCCTGTTTTTCACAAAAATGAGCCCGTTTTTGTCCAAAAAAAGGGGGCATTAGGAAGCTTATACAGTGCTCCTGGGGGCTGTAGGGGCCAAAATTGAGCAAAAAGGGCCCATATTTTGCTCATTTCTGCCCTCCCCAGCCACCAGGAGCTCTCTGAAAGCCTCCTACAAGCTATGCAAGACCATTTTGGTGAGGGGACAGAGTTTCAGGAGGCAAAAAAAATGCTGTATGAGACGCACCCAGATTTTCAGCCTCTTTTTGAGGAAAGAAGGTATGTCTTATACGCCGAAAAATACGGTAATAAGATAAGAAGAAAACAATACCAGATAAACAATTAGGGAAGAAACGATACCTTAATTAAGGAATTATCAAGGCAAAAAAATTACACCCCAGTCAGGACTGGAAAGGCAAACTTCTATATATAAATAATTCTCCCATGTATTGATGATAATGAAAGCTCTCAGGAAAGGAAATTCAAGAAACAAGAATTTCATCAATATTGATTGAATTCAAGACATTTAAACTTGTCTAATGATGTTAAAACTGAGGTGAAAATGTAAAATTATTATTTTAAACTAACTGAATGCTTTTATTTAAGGTTTTACTTGGAGGAGCATCCTGGAACCCAAAAACTTTATAGAGGAAATGCTGTGCCACCAACTAAAGTAGCATTTGTTGGAGAAAAGGAAAATAATGTATGGATAAAAGAAATCCAGGGAATTTCAGAACAGTAAGTTTGTAACTGATTTATAGTTTGTTTGGAGACTATATAGCAAAATTAAGTTGCATAGTAGATTATGCTCATAAAAATAAGAATCCCAGAACATATCAATGTCCTCGTGAAAAACTTATTTACAGGTCAGAATGCCACCGTTTGGGTGAAGCAGACTGGCTTCAGATTGGCAACAGACACAGCTATATACGCTCCCCTTATTTAGTCAAACTATATGCTGGATATATATTATGGGAAGTTGGATTCGAAGAAGATAAGTGAAGTTTCCTCATGTCCCTGTCAGACCTTAAGGCTTCATGGATATTATCTCTACAGAATCTTCCTTCTAGTTTCCATAATCCACTTCTAATGTTTATTAGAAAAGTGGCTATCAGTAATCTTATTAACTTTTGTCTAATTTAGGAATCCAGCATACCCTTGCAAACTTTTGGATTTTATTAGTATTTGCTTGACTCCTCCCTCCCCCAAATGATTTTTCTAGTATCATTTCTAAAAAATGCAAATTCTAATTTACTGTATAATTTTTATCAGCTACCAAAGAAGAAAAGGAGTAATTATAAATGAGACATCTATAATTGTATATGCCCAATTACTAACTGGGAGTAGATATCAGTTAAATCAAAACGGTGAAGTGTATTTTGAAAAACAGTGGTCCAAGCAAAATCTACCTTTTGCATACCAGACAATTGTGAAGGTAATCTTTTCAAATTATTGTTATACTTATTTACATATCTATTAATTCAAGGAATCCATATTTATTAGCACAGTTCAAATTTAAAATATTTTTATGTTTAACTTCTTAATTTGCTAGAAATGTATGCATGTTTATATTTACATAGACATGTACCCAGACACATAAATTTAGATGCAGAGGCCTTCATTTATGCTGTTCTATAATTCTGTAAGAGTGCTGCATCCAGTGAGAAATATGCTGTGATAACAACATTCTTCAGTACTGTAGGGAGAGGAGGTATATGAACCCTGTATAACTCTTTGTAATCCATCTGTAAATTACCTATGTGATCAAGGCTTTATCAATCCATGTTCAAGAACATGGTTTTCAAATAGAGGAATGCAACACCATTGTTATTATTCCCAATAATAGCAATCTAATAAAAGAATATCTCAAGAGCAAGACATACACTACTTCAGGTTATAAATAAGTCCAAGATGACTGTAAAAATATGCATGCCACTCTTGAATTATTTATATTCATGGTCACAGAAAGAAAAACTGAACAAAAAATTTGTGGTAGGAAGATGCCAGCTCTGGTTGGAAAGCACATTGCCACCTGCTAGTAAATTTTTTGAACTATCATGGCATTAATGAGAACATTTTAAGAATATGAAGCACTTCATCCTGATAAAAAGAACCATATTACAGCCATGAAGCATGATGTACGGAATACAGTATATCATAATTTGGGGTTGCTTTGAAATCTCAGGAACAAACAACCCCCAATCTATCAAGAAACAATATGTTTGGGATTGAACCACTATATTCTCCATGTCAAAGTATCTATCCATGGCCAGAATATATCCAAATGTGGGTTATGTAACATAACTAGATCTAAACCCACATAGAAATCTCTGATGGAATGATTGAAGCAAAATAAATTCTGTCTTTGGGAATGGACAATTCAGATTTTTTTTACCTGAATCCAACTGAAATGTGATAAAATCTGAAGCTAGTAATTTATGAAATTAGACCAAAAATATCCATAAGATAAATCAGTGCTTTAAATAGGAACAGGCTGAGACACGTTGAGCCAATATTGACTGTCTTTGTTGGAAAAAGTATGTGGCATTTCAGATTTAGTAACTAGTGGCACCTCCTTTAGCAGCAAGGTCTCCAATCAAACATTTCCTAACACATCAATCTATTCAAAAAAACAAAGGCACAGTACTACCTTGTTTGACCAGAACCTCTTTATATGTAAGTAGTACTTAGAAAACCCTCTGATCACACTATATGTCATAAACAGTAGGATTACAGTCATGAAATATTACCGCGTCTTCCCCATTCTTATCACTACCATTTTCTTTTGTCATGAATAACTGTATTATACTTAAGATGATATTGACTGTGCTGAACAGATGAACATTATTTAACAGAAAGTCCTAAATTTATTCATCTTCACTTAAGAATAAAACTTGCTGTTTTAAAATAGATCATTGGCAAGCATTATTACAGTGGTTAGTGTGGATTGTCTTAATGTGATGTATCTTTCTGGGTTTTTTTGACAGGATATAAAAACTTTTGATTGCCACTTCTCCAAACTAAAAACTTTGGATGACCTATTCCCTCTTGGATGCACAGTTTTCATGCTAGGAACACCTTACTATGGCTGCACAGGAGAAGTGAGTTTCAAAATAATCTTCCATCAGATTCATTTCATAAATTTAAACTATCAGAAATAGATCAAATGATTATCTAGGGTTTTTTTTTGAGTTATCATTTGCCTGCCTGTTGAATATATACTTTGTATTTGTCTTCATCTCTTTTTAAAATGTATATATTCATTATATTTCTATCCTGTCTTCATTTTGTAGAACTCCAAGCATTGTACATAATATTCCCACCTCTTCTTTTCTTCACAGAAAAGCTGCTGAATAACCACAGTTAGGACTGGAATGTCAGATGTTAAGTGAAGCGGTTAAGTGAGACATCACACGATTGCTTCACTTAATGTCTATAATATTAGCAATCCTGGTTGTACTTGTTAAGTGATCTTGTGGGTCATTAGGTAGATAAACAGAGTCTTAGGTAAGAAGTGCAAGGGTCGGGGGAGGCCTGGTGCAGACTATGCACAGGTCTTTCTTTCTGCTCAGAAACTGCTCAGAAATCCTCCCTGCTGAAATCCAAGCAGGATTTTCAGCTCCGAGCAGCAAGAGACTGTGGCCTGCGCTAGGCTTTCCCACCCTGATGAAACATCCACACTTCTTACCTTATCATGCTGCCTTTCCACTTGGACTGAAAATCCTGCTTGATTTTGGCTCTCCGTTATCTATTATTTCTGAGGACCGACTGAAAGAGCTTCATGCCGAAGGATTTCAGCTCCATGCAAGTAGGCACTAAGAATTTCAGCTCTGTGTCAAGCAGGCATGGAGCTAAAATCCTTTGGTAAGAAACTCTTTCACTTAGTTCTCAAAGATAAGGTCTCCTTCAGCAGTTTCTTCAATCTTTCCTTTTGTTTACCCCATTGACTTTCTATGGAAAATGTAAGAAAAGATTGCAATTGGTAGTTTACATGCTGTAAATGTAAACAAGTTGTCAAACAATCAGATGTAATCACATGACTGAGGTGGGTAAGTACAATGATCCGAAATGCTTTACAGACCATAAAGCACCCTTTCCGAGACTGTTAATTTGAATTGTTGTTAAGCTACCTGTAATCAACATAAATATTTAGAAGACATTTTTTCCATTGTGAACCTATGTGTATCAATTATTCCTTTTAGGTTCAAGATTCCTCTGATGTAATCTCAGATGGCAGAATCCGTGTTGTTTTCAACATTCCAATTGAACCTCAGCTGGATATCTTAATACAGAATCAGCATGTGAGTGTTAATTTTCTAGCAGTGGAATACCCTTGCAGAGTTCATCTTAATCCTTCAGGAAGTAATTGAACTGTATGGAAAAAAATTCAAATAATTAACAATTACATCATTTTACTTTAATCTTTTCCATTTATATTTTGGTATACATACCCTAGAATCTAAATGATTCTAAAGTATTTTGAACTGGTTTTAAAACTTTTTTATTTAAATATTCTTTAATGAAACATATTGCCATTTTAGAATTAAAAGCTTCCTCCATTAACTAGATTAGAAAATTGCCTATGAATTTAATTATTTATAATGTTTATTATTTATTTTTCCCCTTCATCCTTCTCTTTTCCCTTTTTCCATTTTCCTATGATTTTCGTTTTAATTTGTATTTTATGCTCTGATAAGTTTAATAATATTTTATTACTTAAAAAAAGAAAATTACTTATATTCAACATCCAGCCAGTGATTGATTTAGAATTATAATTATGATTGACAAATCAGAATTCTGGTAAGAAAAGTATTGAACTTCTGAAACATTCCAGCCCTTAAGACCAATCTATGACTATATTGGTTTACATTTGCTTCCATTAGTATATCTTTGCATTATTCTGTTAATCAGATCATTTCAATAGACAATAATTACTCCAATAGTTCATTTCATTGCTCGGGACAAAATTAATTGGTTTCTAGCTCTCTAGACTTTACTTATTCTGACTTTTTGCCTTAAAAGCCGTTGTATGCTTTTGGTTTAGCTTGACTGTGAGATTATCAGGCAATTTTATTATTACAGCTCTTTTCTGTCCCTATTTATTTATTTATTTATTTATTTATTTATTTGCAAGATTTATAGGCCGCCCAATCCCGAAGGACTCCGGGCGGCTTACAAAGCAAAAAGAAAAGGAAATAATAAAAAATGAAGGAAAGACAAATTTAAAAAGATCACACATGCACTCTATCTGATTGTGGCTGGACCTCAAGAGTGAGGTCAACAGCCCCAGGCCTGCCGGAATAGCCAGGTTTTAACAGCTTTTCTGAAGGCCATGAGAGTGGGCAATGTCCAAATCTCCGGGGGTAGCTCATTCCAAAGGGTCGGAGCAACCACAGAGAAGGCCCTCCTCCGGGGAGCCACCAGCCGACATTGTCTGGCTGACGGCATCTGAAGGAGGCCCACCCTGTGGGATCTCACCGGCCGCTGGGAGGTATGAGGCAGTAGGCGGTCTCGCAGGTACCCTGGTCCTAAGCCATGTAGGGCTTTAAAGGTAATAACCAGGACCTTGAATTGCATCCGGAGACCAATAGGAAGCCAATGCAGCTCGCGGAGGATAGGTGTAACCAAGGTACACCCAATATCGCTCGCGCGGCTGCATTCTGGACTAGTTGCAGTCTCCGAACACTTTTCAAGGGCAGCCCCATGTAGAGCGCGTTGCAGTAGTCCAGCCTTGAGGTGACAAGGGCATGAGTAACCATTTGGAGTGCCTCCCGATCCAAATAGGGCCGCAATTGGTGCACCAGACGAACCTGGGCAAAGGCCCCCCTGGTCACAGCCGACAGATGGTATTCCAATGTCAGCTGTGGATCCAATGACTTTGAGATAAATATAACATCTGTTTGCTGTTTGTAAACTACAATATTCAGAAGTGGCAACCAAATTGCATTGCATCTTAGCTGAGAACTGGGAAAATAACTGTAATTTATGCTAATCTTTCTGCTGGGAAATAAATGCTTCTTGCCTTGAAATACCTAATAATAATGTTACAAGTAGTCCTCAATTTTCGACCACAATTTATTCCAAAATTTCTGTTGCTAAGTTGTTAAATGAATTTTGCTCCATGTTACAACTTTTCTTGCCATAGTTGCTAAGTGAATCACTGCAGTTGTTAAGTTAGTAACCTGGTTGTTAAATGAATCAGGCTTCCTCATTGACTTGGCTTATCAGAAAGTTGCAAAAGATCATCACATGACCTTGGGACATTGCAATTGTCATAAATATGAATCAGTTGCTTAGCCCCTGAATTTTGATCACGTGACCATGGAGCTGCTGCAATGGTCATAAGTGTGAAAACCAGTCATAGGTCACTTTTTTCAGTTGTAACTTTGAACGTGTTTTTCGTCAAGGACAAAGTACAATTCTTTTTTATTTCCTTGTAAATCTATCAAAAAAAGATTTTTTCCTTCCTTTTCCTGTTTCTTTCCTTCCAACAACCAACCTTACATATTAACCTCCGCATTACTCTCATAATACCTCTTTATTTTCTTTATTCAGCAAATGCTGATTTCATTATTTTTATTCTTTCTGTTTTTCTATTAGAAATGGTACACTGTGAACCTCAGTAGTTTCTTACCCTATTACATATCATTTCTGAAAATACATATCCTACTTACTTGAAGCCTATATACATTTGCTATATGCCTGTAAATTGAAGGATGATACAAATCCACTTCATTAGATACCTTATATAAAGACTTGTCCATAGAAATATACTGCATAACAAATCTGTAGTCTTCAAAGGCTCCATATTTTTGTTTCTATAAATGTTAATATAGTTCTCAAATATTAAAAGTAAATGTTGGATATTTTAGAAATATTCTGTGAAATATAATCCTGCATATGTGTTGGCCAGTCGTCTTGGAGTGAGCAGCTATCTTGTGTCAAGATTTACAGGAAGCATTTTTGTTGGAAGAGGAACCAGGAGAAAGTAAGTTTGGATTATATTACCATTTTGTTGTGAAATATCTAATTGCATTTGTATTAAACCCAGGTGCTTTGAAAATCGGTTTTAACAGAGAAAAATTAATGGAATTTTACATTTACCTTTATTTGTGCATTTAGTACAGACAGAAGGCTAGATTGCACAGTGTCAATAAAGACCATTTTATGTTAGTTGTGTCCAGTTTTTAGTTTAAAATTTGGAAAGAATACCTTTATGAAGTATGATAAGGAAATGCCATAAGTGCACAGATATTATTTTTCAAAAACATAACTCACTGCACTTGTGCATCACTAATGTAAAGGCACATCTTTCTTTGCCCCTTTTTGTGAGCCACTGAATTCATTGGGAGTATTATCTGGTTTTTTATTAAAAAGAAATGTTTATTGTTGTTTTGTAAAATTCCTTATAAAGCACTATAAAGCATTGTTAAAGTTATTTTTCCAATGGTACTTCTTTTATAAAATGATTTGTCCAATTTTCTATCTGCCTTTCCCTGTGTGGAATTATTCTTGTATGTACATTTTTAAAACGTATTCCAAAGCATGGATAGGTTGACTTTGAGCATAATTTATCAGGAAAGAGAAATGAAAACAGGAAGAAGAGAAGCAGTTAGAGATATGAAGGTAGAACATACTGTACATGTTGAAACTGATCAGTGATACTAATAATATTCATGTGTCCCCCTTGAAGCGTTTAGGCAACTATAAGTTATTGAACCCTCAGCATAACTTCTTCAGGGCCTTCCTAGGTTGTCTCCAAGTAA